CTGTGAGAACGGGAAATTACTTCAAGGGTGGTGGTGGGGCAGTGGTTTAGTCGCTGTCATAGGCGAGCTTTGGACCCTGTAGTCCGAGGTTCGAGCCCCGCCACTACCACTGCCACCCAACTTTGGTGGTAGGCAGCTTTGCTGTCGTCCGGATCAACACCACGCCTGACCAAACGGGGCGTAATGTGATTCGCCACTCTAAGTACCGAGGCTTAGGTTACCGATTACCATCATTGAACAGCAAGTCCTCGTGACTATGGAGCTCACCCCGTCTGTTGTTGACCACACACTAGTATGTAATAAAAAACTACTCCAACTACACTGGCTGATGGCCGAATATATAAGGCATGAGCTCGGCCACAACGTAAGCTAGTTATCATTATCGCACCATTCATGTGTTCACCAGAAGTCAACAAACAGGCTCGTTTTTGGTGCTACATCAGCTAACTAAATACAGCACAATTTTTAACAGATTAAACGGGCGAGAAGGAAAAAAAACAGCGAAGGAAATCTGAGTTTTAAAAGAGCCGATGGAATTGCTATAATTGATGTTTGTGAGTGCGTATGTCCGTGTGTATGCACGAAAAGCGGATGACGCAGTGGTTGGGAATGGTTGAATAGGTGAATGAGTGAGGGTTCAAAATCGAATACATCAGATGTTTAGTGAATGGCCACGGTAAGATCAGTGTTCTTACAAACCGTTTCCGGGGCCACAAGCGGGTTGTGGAAACGGATGGCGATCGCCATGGCGGTTAACAAAATTCTAAATTTGACCTCTTTGGGTAACCTACCCTTGATTGTATAGCGATGACGTAAAGCCTCAAGCACATTGACTGTGTGATTAGACTCAGTCAAATGATTCATCATTGCCGTTGCCCCGGTCCTTGTCAATCGCTGATTCAACTAACTGTGAGGTGATGCTCCCGGATGGGAGCAGATAGACGTTTCACCACCATTTGACCCACATAACTTGCTCCACAAGAGCAGGTGAACCGATGAACACAAAATGAGGTTGCCCCCATCGCATACACATACGATGCTATCCACATATTGTTTGTAAAAGGTGGATTCTTCTATGGGTTATGTGAGTGCTCCGTCTTCTAATTTGGTTATGAAAATATCTGCTTATTGTGGTCCAAATGGTGAACTCATAGCTACTCCGTCTTTCTATCTATACTTCGCCCCATCAAACTTGAATCGTATGTTATACGTGCATAGATAAAGAAGTCACTTGAGCTCATCAACGGCTAGCCCAAAAGAAGTTCCCGATTTTTCTATGGAATTAAGAATGAATCCAATGGCCTTTTGGAGTGGCACATTGGTAAATAATGAGGTAGCACCCAGCGAGAACATCTGTTTATTGGTTAAGTTGATGGGCGCAATGTGATTGACAAAATGAAAGTAGTCTCGTAAACTGAACTTAGCGAAGTCTATTCTGACTGGTTCGAATAGAGCGGTTAGCCACTGTGCAAGTGGTACGGCAAATTACTTATATCCGAAATGAAGCAGCGGTACCCCGCACCCTTGTGCACCTAGAAACGGTCTGATCTTACCATGGCCATGCACTAACAATCTGGTGACGTAAACCCGTTCAAGAACTCACACTCATTCACCTATTCACCCAACCACAACCGCCCTCCGTCATCCCCTTTTCACGCATACACACACACACAGACATGCACACAAACAAACAACAATTACCACCATTCCACTATCTCCTTTAAACTCTGATTTTCTTTGCGGACATGTGTCTCCTCTCACCACTTGTTCAATCTGTTATAAATTGTGTTGTATTTAGGCAGTTGATGTATCACCGAAAACGAGTTTGTTTGTCAACATGTGTTCCCTCGTGTTTCTGAAACTGACTGCACGAGATATCTCGTCCAACTTCCTATTTCACTTTTGTTTTCATGTAAACTGGACTGCAATGAGTTGAAAATCAAATCACGGGAAACGCGTTTGCCCGGAACAGGTGTTCTGATATTTGAAACAAACTTACATTATCCCCGGCTGCATAGATATTCTTTGAGTCGGCCGTGTCCTCATCCAATTCGTCTACATCCACATCCTCAGTGGCTAGAGCTCTTCGAGCAGCTGGGCTCTTCTGATTAGGATCCTCACGCCGTGCTTTCCATTCAGCCACTTTCCGAGCGATATCTGGTAAGTGAACAGGATTGGGTGGTGAATAAATACATCACGGGAAATGATAAAGTAAACTCTCCGAAAATCCACCAGCAACAATCTAGTCTGAGATAGATCCAGGTCGTCCACATGAAAATGATCGCTTACATTCCTGTTCATATTTTGCCTCTTGTGGAACGATCACTCCGTCATCTTCATCGCAATTTCCGTAATAGGACACATCGATCATTTTCATCAGTTCGCCTCGAGACTTTTTAGCCACCGGTTGCGCTAGAAAGCAAAAAAAGTCACATATCACAGACATTAGGAATGTGTTGTGATGATACGGAATCATGTCATGTCGACTGAGCCTACTACTACTGTCTTTCAGTCATTTATGACCATGTAGCTCTGCTTCCCGACTTGGATCACTAGTTGCCCCCACTTTGCTTTATATATAGTCACTATCTCTACCTGAAATTTACCGCCCTCTCTATCCGTTTCCTGATATTTGATTTCAGCTTACAAAAACCTAAAAGCTTTTACCTCCTTATGCGTGATAGGATGGCTCCACTCTCTTAATATCCTCTTTTAAAGGCTGTTTGGTACTTGTCGTAAAGAAATATTATTACGGATGAAGTAAACCTTCACTTCCTCTTGAATTTAGATCATGTTTAAATTACTCCTGCTTGTCATCCCATTTCTCAATTGAATACCTGCTCACCACCGACCGATGTCCCTGGGCGTTTTTAATCTGTCTTTTGTGTTATATTCTATTGTGTGATGCATAGTAGAAGCAGTGGTCTCACAGTTACGAAGATCTACTGTTACTTTGTGATAACCAGTAACCTAAGCCCTGGGATGTAGAACGATGAACCCCAATAGGATAAGCGCGGTATGAGCCAGCCAACAGCAAAGTTACTTAACAATGAAGTTGGGTAGCAGCGGTGAGGTTCAAAAATCGGACTTAAGTGGCCAATCTCCCCCCTCCCCGTCACAGCAACTGAAAAAGCTTCATCACCATCATGGCATTTTGTTTTTTAAAGGTTGATACTTATCCTCAATTATAGTATCTACATGTGCCGACAGTAACAGCCCTCTTGTTTTCATTTCTCATCAGATCAGAATGCTTGAAAAATTGCCTGCACCCTTAAACTGTGTACTGTGCGTGCTGACCATAAAGGTTCACTTTCTTCGCCCTCCCTCAAAATAGGTCAAAACCCCGTCCACCTTACATATTACCGCTGTGTATAAATCGCGAGTTTGGCGGCAATCAGCGAAGTCCACTTCACTGCACTCCGGTGTACCAAGATGATGATGACGTTTGCCAATGGGTCCCAGATATAAGTATTCAGCTACCTTTAAAAAAATGTATCAAAAAGCTTGTGATACAAAAAATTAAAATACCTTCAGGAAACAACTGAACTGTGGTAACCTATTACTCAGCTGTTTCGCCAAGCCACTTTGCACGTTAAGTTGATAAAATGCAATTCTGTTTCAGTTATTCTTACATCCGTTGCAATAGGCTTCCATATAAAATGTTACTACAAGAATAAGTTGGTCCAGCACCCAGAATCACTCTAACTGGGAAAGTGACAGACCAATCGAAGAAGTTTTGTTGTTCAGGCAGCTATATCTCACCCGGTGGAAGCATCACAAATGAAGTGTCAGGTCGCACACAGAAGACACGATTGGCATTTGCCAACTTGAGGCACCTGTGGCACCGTCAGGACATCCGGCTGTCTGTGAAGGGTCGAGTATGGGCTGCAGCAGTCAAGCCAGTCCTGTTTTGCGGTGCAGAGACTTGGCCATTACGGGAACAGGATAAAGATAGACCGTCGATGTTCGAACAACACTGTCTACGTTGCATTGAACGAGTCTGGTGAGGAAACCGGACAAGCAGTGCTGAGGTTAGGCGCAGAGATTGTAAACGATGTTTAGAGACACTGGGTTATATGGCTGAGTGTTGTAAACAGTGACGCTTGAGCATCTTCCGAATTTCTTTGCAACCTTAGGCTACTAAAATATTCAATTTTCTCTCCGATTCTACTTTCAATTTTTCTGGCTTTCTCTTATTGTTTCATCCAAATGGGAAATCAAAAGATAGTAATCAAAACCGGGACACGAAATTGCACAGTTATTGGTTGTACAAACTGAAACTGAACTTACAATTAGCAAGTGACAAGTTGATGAATAAAGGGTGCCCAGATAGATTTAAACTTACGTTCCTCTTCGAACAACTCACGAACTCCGGGAAGATCTCTGGCAGCACCGTAATACCGATAACCTTTGTTTCCCGGAACTTCCTTACCCACTTTTTCGAGCATTTTTGGGGCTTCGGCCTGAAAATTTAAGTATGGGGTCAGAATAGGAACAAAATGACTTGAAGATTACCTTAAAATCTGGGCCACCTAAATTTTTTATGTGATCTTCCCAATGTGCTTTTTCGCGAACCAGTTTATTAATATCATCGTTCAAATCTCGCAGTTTGTATTCCCCGAGACTAGCTGAAATTAGTATAAGAAGGTCGGGGTAGTTGATACAAACAAAAATAAACCTACGATTCTGTATTTGAGCTATTTTTCGGGATATATCATGAATGATTTGTCGTCGATAGTACATCGCATCTTTCAAACTAGTGCACTCGGTCACTTGAAACGGGCGACGTTTTTGTTCTTGCACTTTGTCCACATACACCGCTCGCCAACGAGCCAAAGCTGTCCTACAGGAACAACGCATAAACGCTTACAGAGTCAAACTTACATCGCTTTTTCTGCACTGCGGGCCATGACAGGATAAATAAGTTTCTGTAATTTTCGTTAAAACACAGCGGGGCCAGTATAAAATCTGAAAGAGGATGAAACAGAATTCCATGCGAAGTGAAAGGCTCAAATAAAACAAATGCTACGAATTTTCTAAATGTTATTCGATGGTAAAAACTGACGAAATAAAGGAATACGTTATTTGGCCGAAAACATTTTGTCACTAACACTGGCGCTTTCTTTTGTTTTAACTCCAAGATATTTGAGTGGCAGTTCGGAATAACCTGTCAAATTCCGTCTTCAAGCAGCAACACCAATTAATCCTGTCACCCACACACTTTTGAGTGACCGATAAGCGGTATATCATGCGGTGATCACTGATCGTAAGCTGTTGACAGCCAAATTCAATAACCCAAGTGACTAGTGCAACAGATTTGTAACTTCTATTTAGGACCCCGAACGGTAATACTCGTACCAGTCCCAATTAGAAATACCATACTACTGCAGATCTGATGTAACGAGAAGGCGAGTTGACTGGCAAAACGTTTAGTGATTCAATTCAAAAACAACTGGTGTATGCGTTCAAGTATATACAATCAATTCTTAACCGCGCGGCAGCATGATTCATGCCTCATTCTGTTGGTCAATCCCTGGTGGTTTTGGTCCGCACTTGGCACGTACGTTGCTTCTTCTTCCGCGTGCCATTCCGACTGGTTTGACCCGATCGTAGTGCGAGATACATTGATCGACAGCTTTGACGTTGTGGTATTTGGTGGATATCTTTCTGGCTAGATGCGGATTGTCCGTCGGGTTGCAATTGTCGATTCGTTCGTTTCGAGCGGTAGTCGACATTGTCTCGCGAAGTACTTCCAGCCGCCACGTCTGCGCATCTGGTTGGGTGGGCCTTATTCTTGATTCATTCGCTAGACGGGGCTCTTTTTGTACCACCTTCCTTCACACTGATACACAGGCACATGGGCAGACAGCATTCCAGATACGTTTAATTGTGTGCATCCATGTGCTGATTATAACAGAAACAGTAGTCAGATGTTCTAGAAACAACCGAGTTAGCATAGTTAACGGGTAATCATAACTAGACGGG